CTCATAAATATCCACTGACTTCAACTTCTGTCAAAACAGAGCTGTTTCACTGAAACCTGCTGGCTCTTTCTTCATTCTGGTACCTTCTCTTCTTCAAATCTCTTAACTCTTTTTCTTAAGACCCTAAAGATTTCTTGCTGTAGTCACTTAATCAGGCTCTGTCCACCTCTTTATCCTTAGCTAATCCTTCCTAGCTTTTTAAAACTAATACATTTTAAAAATCAGATGCAGAAGTGTTTCCAACATCTAACTACCTACCATTTTGAAAAAACTTCTTTCTGAGATCTTAAAACTCTTGTCTGTGTGTGCCTTTCATTATTTTTCCTTGTACGTGAGTCAACATATCCAGATACTGGTTGGAAGCAACTTCAAGTCGACCTGCTTTCTTCTCGTCTAAAATACTATATTGAACATTTCTCAGCTTAAGCCTTCTGTCCTTTGTCCCCATTCTGCAGAAAATTAAAATACAAGAGTAATTTATTTTTACACAGCCAGATTGAATAACGTGGCACTTACACAATGTGCAGCGGACTGTGTTTCTGCAGAAGGTGTGCTTTAAATATCTCTTCTTTTCATATAACCCTCCACATCATAGACTGGTGGCATAGAATTTTTGCTACTCATCTGTTCGGAGATGTCACGAATAATAAAAATACGTTGGGGATTGTGGAGACCATTTCTTCTCTTGCCTCTGAATTTCAGGGAGGCAATGGCTGCCTTTCAGAGCCACTGACAGACTGGGCTCCCACTTAATGGCAGCTGTGGACAGACCTTCCTTTGGATTCCTGATAAACGCACATGCACCTCCGTTCATTCATTTGCCGCCTATGTCACATGCAAAACACTCATTCCCTTATATTGATGATGTCATCAATATAATGAAGCAACTGTGAACATTATAAATCTTTTAGCTGGAAAGTCATGCAAAGAAGAATAATTTAGGGCCTCCCTAGTGGCCTAAGTTTAATCCTCAGCCAGAGAGCTGACCCACATGGTGCAGCTCTCTGTCCTGCCCACTGCTCCCCTCACTGATTAGCCTGTTCTGCTCCTCACTCTGACTCTGGTGCATCTTCTCACCCCCGGCTGACACCCCCATTTTTATATGCACATATGAATAAAAATAAAGCTTTTAAAATTAAGAATAATTTAGATTCTAAACAATTTGTGTTCCATAAAAAAATTTTTTTTTTTTAAATCAGAAAACCAGATCTTAGGGGGAAATGTTCATTGACCAAAGGGTGATTAAGTGTTGGACAGCTATGAAGAATGTAACTGAGCTTTCAACCCTTGATGCCTTTAAAAGTAATTTTAAAATTAGCAACTGCTGTTTACTTATCTCAAAGCTGAAAGCTACAAAAAATGGTCTTGTTGGCCTTCCTTCCAAACCCTGATTTCTATGTCCAAGTTATTTTATTTTTCTTTTAATGTAAAATTAAAAGAATGTGATGAAAGGTCTACAACCTCATAGAGGATGTAACTAAAGTGAGTTCACTTTATTTTATTTGTCAGCTACTTTTGTAACTGACTTAAATCTTCTGAAATAGGATAAATTGTATGAACTCATTTTCCTAAAGTTACTCTAGCCAGCCACGTATCTGCCAGTTCATGTGGACAGAAGGTATGTGAACTACTTCACCAAACCTTACCAATAGTTGTCTGTGTGTTGGAATTAGGTATATTCTTAATCTTTGATTCTTCTACATCTGTTTTCCTGGATTTATTTCATAATAAGCATGCATCATTTTTACCAAACACATATGCACACACCATCTCTTCCAAAATTCAAAGGAATTCCACACACTAGCAATTATAAGAACAATAATTATGTTTTATATGTTTACATATATAGTAATTATATATAAAAACATAAAGTTTCTAGAAGAGACACTTCTCCCCACTCCTTTCAAATCTCACCAGCAATTTTCTGCTACCCTGGTCCTGCTATAATGCAAGCGGCATTTTGCTCCAGGTTAGCCCTATAAGCCAACACTCTTGCACACCGGTACAAAACGATGCGTGGGCAAATTTATGGGGCTAATAACTCACCGCCGTCAGGCACACCTGAAGTGAGCTGAGAAGTCCACGGTAAATATTATGAGAGACTCTAGGGAAACCGAGTGCCACTGGCCTTGCATGACATAAAGGTAGGTGTTCATCTTCGTGACTTCGCATCCAGCTGAACAAGACCAGGGCCGACCCTGACCTTGAGTCAAACCAACCATCCGGCCGTCCACGCCCTTCACAGCACTGCTTCCGCCACGAGTCTGAACTAGTCTCTGCGGTTCCTTCATTTGCTCTGTCTCCCTCGGTCTCATGTTCGGCGAGGCCAGTGACCAGACAACACTTGTAAAAGGCACTCCCTGCACACCCCTAGGCTGCCTTTCGTCTTGACTGAAGTTTGCCGTCTTGTGCAGGGTGAGATGAGAAAAGCACAGAGGAGTTTGGCAAGGTTTTGTGGCTGGAGGCAATAAGCGAAGTGGCTGTGTTCTGCCGATTTTATGTGTCATTAGACCGCTCTGCCTTTCTGACTCCCCAGCTCATTCCTGAAGAGGCTTTTTCCTACTGTCTGGTTTTCTAACACTCCTAAAAGGGGCAGGAGCTGATGGCGTCCAAGACCTGAGTTAAGATTCTGGCCCTAAAATGTTCATTATTGAGATAGCAGGAACTTAAGAAATACTTCTAAGAAGTCAGGCTTTGGTGTTTGAAATAGATGAAACACTGTTTGCAAGAAGCCTGCAGTGCCAGAGGAAGGCACCAGAGGTAGTAACATGTGAGGCATGAAAGAATAGCTCCAGGAGGTGGCCAGGCACAGCCAGGCACTGCCAAGCTATCTGCCCTTCCTCATAGAGGGAGAGCCCAACTCATGGAGAATTCAGCAGGCACTTGTTGAAAGAGGTAACCCTGGAATTGTGTCACGAAGTCAGGGGAGCCAACATGGGCCGCCCTGGCTTTCACTCCAGACCTGGATGGTGCAATGGCCATGGCCAGCGCCGCATAAATGCGTGTGTTTAAGGACCTGGTGCATGCAGATCTGCTCTGACTCATTCACCTGCATGGCCCCCAGCTCTCCGTCTGTAAAGTGGAGGCCCGAAGCCTCATGCGGCTACCTCCAGAGCTGTGCAGATTATAGCATCTCATCTACTGTTGGAGTTCTGCATCAGTTCAGTCTCTGTAGAAAAGTGTTTGGAAATCCCTCCAAAAACTAAGGATAGACACACCCCATAGCCCACCTGTTCTACCTCTGAGAGTTTATCCTAAGAACACAAAAATGCTAATTCAAAGAGATGTGCATCCTAGTCCACTGAGACATTGTTTTGATCGCCAAGATTTGGAAGCAGCCCAAGTGCCCACTGATAAATAAATGAAGAAAGAGGATATGATATACACCTTATACATATTTACAGAAATATTTATATATTATATTTCACAAATGAGTAAGCAAAATCAAACATACTCTTAAGACTATTAGAACTAGTGGTCACCAGAAGGTGAAGGAAAAGGAGAGTAACTCAAAAGGTAACAAGTATGATGTGTATATTTATGAATAGAACCTAGACTTTCAGGAAATCGCATAATGTTTTATATACAGATTTTGATAGCTAAGTTGAAACCTATATAATGTAATAAACAAATCCTACCTAGAATAAATAAACAAGGATTTCTTTGCAACAGTTAGAAAAATTGTTATGCAGATTAACTAAAGAATACCAAAAGACTTGGTAAGCTAACTGAGCAAATAAAGGTTGATTTTCAATGTGGCAAAAAGATTATGCAGACTAAATGAAGAATATCGAAGGACTCCGGTGGCCAGGAAGTCTCATTATCACCACCACAAATAAGAAGCATGGGTGAGATGCAACTCAGAGATAACAGGGCCACGTGGCAGGAAGAATCCTACCGTCACGTGGCCACTCAGCCTCCATCTGTCTTCCGTCCACCCCCAAATTAGTGACTGGGACCAAGGAGCCCTTAAGCCCCTTCTGATGATGACGGTTAGTTTCCAACAACCCCTGTAAGTCTAGTTTTGAGTAAGCAGCCCATGGCCCCACCCCCACTACTTCTGTCTTCATCCCTAACCTTTACCTTGGCCATGGAAGCAGCAGACCAATCAAGCATGTCAGACAACCCATGGCACATTTCCTGTGCTGCTCAGCCCTCTGCAGGCCTCAGACTGCGGAGGCCAGCTGGCCGGGCTCAGCAGGGGGCAGGGCAGCTGGCCAGGTAGCCAAGCTGCTCGCATCCCAGAGGCCAAGGAAGTCCTGAGCACCAGCTCAACTGTTTGGCTTTTAGGTGTGCTGGGGATGAAAGGCATCCTGGAAATGGAAGTCTCGGTCATTCATTAATTAATTATAATTGAGGGTTTGTTCTTAGGATTGAGTCCTTTGAAATTACTTTCCACCAAACAGTGACTGCCACAAAGGTATCAGATAGCCAGATATTTGGAACATTCTCCATTTCCTCAGCAGCAGTATTTTTATTCCAGGGCCTGAGATTCTGCTCTGACCTGGCTCTCCCCAGGGAGTCTCCGTCCTCCTCCCCTCTCCCCACCCTCTACTGTAGAGTTGATTTATTTGGGGGGAGGGTTGTGGTGGGAGGACATGTGTGTTTAATGACTGCCTTTCACAGGGAAACCTTGGTGGCCTTTAACCTGGCCCTTTTCAGAGAGGTGGACCATGGAAAAACTCCACAGAAAGATCAGAAAGACACCTGAGACTTCCCCTGCCTAGTTCCCCGCCACACCTCCAGGTCCCAACTGGAAGGGAAGCACACACCTGGGTACCGATGTGGTTCTGAACGTGTGTGACGCCCAGAGGCACTTTGGGATTGACCAAGAGGAAACACGTGTTGCACAATGATATGATCTTGTTGGTACAGTTGTCAGAGCAGGGCACTCCCACGGCCAAGGACATAAAACCATCCCGGCCAGTCTGGGGCGGCTCAGTTCTGCGTGCCAGGCTGTGGGAGCAGAACCCAGCCCAGCCCCAGGCACAGATGGGACCATGAGCTCCAGCCACAGCTTCAGCCAGACCCCCCTGGGCTCCCTGCCAGGCACGGGAGGCGGCTGGGGCCGGACGGGGAGCTTCCCCCGGGCCCCCAGTGTGCATGGCGGCGCAGGGGGTGTCCGCGTCTCCTTGTCCTTCACCAAGCCCAGCTGCCCGCCCCGTGGAGGGTCTTGGGGGTCCGGAAGAGGCTGCACCCTCCTTGGTGGAAATGGGAAGGAGACCATGCAGAACCTCAATGACCGCCTGGCCGCCTACCTGGACAAGGTGCGCGCCCTCGAGGAGGCCAACGTTAAGCTCGAAAGTCACATCCTGAAGTGGCATCAGCAGAGAGAACCAGGAAATAAGCAAGATTACTCCCACTATGAGGAAAATATCAGCCGCCTGCAGGAGCAGGTAAGATTCTGGTGACTCTGGAAGTCCAGTGTGGGCGGGGAGAAGAGAAAGAGGTACCAGAGACAATTTCTGGGAAATTGGAAGAGGGCATTAAGTAATTGTACCCAACGGTATTTGAGGGTGCTTTCTTATTATACACTAAATGAGCTCAGGAAAATCTGTCGTTTATATTTAATCTTCCATAGATAAACTATGTGGAAGTGAGAGAAGCAAAAATTACAGATCTACCATAGACTTGTTTAAAGGAAGCTACCTGATTTTTCACTCGCCAAGAGAATCTTAAAACTGTAAAGCAAACAGCGATCTCCCCAGACATTCTACCCACCCCAAACCGCTGTCATGTGGGATTTTCTACCAGCTGAGTTGCAGTCAGTATCACTCCACAGACAGCTTCCCCCTCCTGGGCACTGTTAGCAGGCCCATGTTCCCGCTGCCCACTGACCCAGAGTGGCCAGTTGCTCAGAAATAATAAAAGAAACGTGACTTGGAATCTCAGGGTTAGGGTATGTTGTGAAGACTTCAAAAACGAAGTAACTTTGCAACCAAATGTTTTTTCAGAGTGAAGCTTATACTTTCTGCGACTTCTCATGACATTCTCTGTTTGAGCTTATTTTTACTCGCACATAGGCTTATTTTTTAAAGCTCTGTAACTTGCCTGGGCCATCAAGCTGTCCTAGGAAGTTCGCTGTAAGATCATGTCCTAGAAAGGGTATCACCGGTTTCCAATACTTTTACGATATCATTTCTTACCAGGCAGTCATCCTTGCTTGCCTGTAGGAAGAACCAATCAAGATAATAGAAATCTGTCCTCATAATGAACCCTAATTATTGAATAATCAACCTAATAACTGACTGTGTAATTACCTTAACTATATAGTACCTGGTTGTCTTTACAAAGTAAACAAGGTGACTCAACAGACCTCACCATATTGTTTTCATGCATAAAGTTGCTTTTGTTTTAGAATGGAGAAAAGGTTTGTGCCAGTGGTCCCCAAACTCCCAATTATGAGATTAGACCTGGTCAAATAATCTGTTAACTGACATCAGAGAGAAGGGAGATGAGGAGGGGGGAAGGGAGGCATTTACTGAACACTTACAGCATACCAGCTATCATGGAGGACCTAATACCCTGTCAGTGTGGTCCAGACCATCACTCCCCATGATGAACACCTTCTATAGCATCTGATTAGCTCTCACACCCTGTTAAGAAACTGGGGTTCGAGAAAGTGAGATCACCAACCAAAGCCACCAGCAGGAGGCAGAGGTGGGATTCTGACCTGGGTCTGTTTCCAGTGGCCTTATAACTTCTACACAGCATGGTACTAACCAACTGACCTCATGCATAAAAATGACACGGATTTTAATCAAGCAGATGAATGACATTGACACTGTCAATCACACAGCACATATTTTATACACACTATCTCATTATAGAAAGCAGATATTTTTATCCCCCATCTATAGATGAGATGGCTGAGACCCAGCGGTTGCCCAAATCCTTGAACAGAATCAAGAAGAGCAAGTAGGGAGGACGAGCAGGCAAGAGCATCTTGCCCCGATCTACACACCCCAGGTTCTGGGTTCTGATACTACAAGGGAAGTTCCATGGACTTCAAATTCTGCTCTTCTATCTTCCTTACCTCCGTTACTGTTTCCTCTATGCTTGAGGAAACACTTCCGGGAAGCTGATATTGTCTGTCCAGACCTCCCCTTTTTTAGGTAAGAAAACAAAAAGAGTCTACTGCCCACCCTGGACACCCCTTTCCAGATCCCAAAGAAACCCTAAGTAGGTACAGCACTGCCCAATCCCCACTCTGGGGATGCTGATTTACTCAAAAAGATGTTACTGCAGATGGCCTATGAGGAATTAAGTTCAAGAGTTAATCCCATCCTTCAGAAGCACAGAATTAAAGAACTCAACACAGTGGTAGGGCTAATTAAATACCAGAATATTCGTGTGACTTCCAACAGCACTATATTGGGCATTTTGTTTGCAGCAAAAGTTCTATTTCCCTCTCCCTCGTAGGAGATTACACACCCTGGAGCAACGATGCTGCACTAATAGACCAACCAGATTCTTCCAAAGCACGAACTCAGGGCCTTGGGGAGAATCCGGGTGATTAATTACATGCAATACAAAGCCCAGGCCTGTATGTCATTTCTCAATCTAGCCCTGCTGTTGCTCACCACCAAGGCCGTCTCAGACATCACAGCTGTATCATGCTGCTGCATTTCAGAGCTCACTGTTCATATCCGCGCGGTGCTGGCTGGGCCAGGCCCTGATGTGAGCTTTGCAGGTAGATGGCCCACTCATCTCAGAGAAGCTCATGGGCTGCACAGGGCATTTTGCACTTTCTGGATGTACAGGGCACCATTTCTCTGGGTGTAGTCAGCACTTGGGCTCGCCCAGGGGCCCCAGGAGCTACTTTTCACTTCCCATGAGTTTAGATACGGCAGAGTAACAAGCCTATAGACAAAAGCATGGGGGGGGGGGTCCCTAAGCAGCGCTGCAAAGGGGAGACAACTCCAGAGGCCTCTGTTTCACAAGACCATTTATAATCCACATGGGATACAAGAAGTCAGGCAGGGCCCAGGGAGCGGGCGGTGGGGGGCTATCTCCCACCGCCAACAGCAGAGGTTTGAGAAGGCATCAGTGCCTTTGGTCTCTGATATCAAATGGAAAGTTCACGGACTTCAAATTCTGCTCTTCCAGCTCCCTCACCTCCACTGCTGTTTCCTCTGTGCTTGAGGAAACACTTCTGTGAAGCCCAAACTCTATCCAGACCTATGTTGCATTGCAACACAAAAAATCTACAATTTATCCAAAGCAGACATTGGCCCTCATACCAGAAGTGCTAGATTTTTAAAAAGAAAATTAAACAACTTCTATTATTTTAACTAATTTAAGGTTGACTAATTTCTCAGAGTGCCGAGAATAAGCCAAGTCTTTTACAGCATTATTTTACCTCATTTGTTCTGGCCTAATTCTCCTCACTCTTTGATGAAACAGTTACTATTATTATTGTTGTTAGTATTATTATTACTATTATGCCATTCTATGGATAAAGAAACAGTGTCTTGGCCAAGCTTGCTCAGCTCACAGGAGCTGGATCAGGCTCAGCTCCCTGGGTGCTAGGCCCAGAGTTACCACCTCCTCTGAATCCTCTGTGGTGCATTCATTACACCGAATTCCACAAAATCCGTGAGCCTTGGCATAGGACAGAAATTTTAAAGGGTGCCTTTGTATTGAGGTACAACAAGGTCCTAAGAAAATATTTCCCCAATAAAGGAATTATCTATATAAATGCCACAGACTGTCACAGGATTCCCGGGTCCACCTAAATTACAGCGGTTTAGAGCAAGGACCCCCAGGGCCACCTATTTCCAGCACACACTTCTTACTGAACAGGAGGCCAAGCACAGGGTCCATTGAGGGTGGCTAACCGGAAGTAAATAGGGAAACTCCCAGCTCTGGTTCAGTACCACACATGGCATAGAATCATACTTTTGACTCTGAGACACTTTCCACCCATTTTTCCTGAAGACAGACACATACATCAAATACGCACAATTTCCGATTGCAGTTACCTAAATGGACTTACAAATCCTGTATGTGTATGATAGTAAAGACTTATTTCAACTAATATTTTAATAGCTACAACTGGAATATTCTCACCATTAAATCACGTAAGAACATAGGCACATGCCTGTGAGCTATGTGTGTGAGAACAAGCACTTTGGGGCAAAATAAGTAATAATAATGGAGTGTGATAACTATTGTAAAATACATTAAAAATTAGCATAAATGTATGATCCAAATCATTTGAAATTAGTTTGACAAGCTACTATCAGTGATACTGTGCTCAGCCTCCCAGAGAGATGAGTGCTGTCACAAGAAAGAATGAAGTGCTTCTAAATAATCTTTGCACATTCGTGACAAAACCTACTTCTTTTTTTTTTT